CAGAAAATATCCCGAAGTAACAGCTAATTTAAAACACCTTGTATTTGACTTATATATTATACTTTATTTATATTACCTTTTAATATTTTGAGGAAATCTGTAAAATGAATGTGCACCGATATAAGATTTATTTTTGCAGTCTTTATAACTACAAACAAATCCAGTTTTTTTGTCTTCTTCCATAGCTCACACTGTCATTAAAACACAACAAAATCAGAAAATAGTCCACGATAAAAATATTTAAGCAAAATAACAGAAACAATAAAATAATAATAATTATAAATTCACGATTTCGATACCACCGCCCATGCCGGTCGCTACTGCACTGAAAGTTTCAGTGTAGAATATCGGTGTAGGTGTGCTTGAAGGTCACGAGCCCTCGAAGAACCCATGATCGGAGATATCCTTCTGGTTATTATTTATTCTTGTGACTAGTCTATCTGGAATATCATTCAAAACCTGAACAGGCTATCCTTTAAAGCAGGCACATATTAGATGTCTTACGATGGTTTAGTTATAAAACACATCTTATTAATTTTTATTCATTCGGCGAAACCTCACTTGTCCATCTCTGGTGCTTACCCAGGGAGCGCCCACCACAGTTTAAGAAATGCTTTACTAAGGTCAAAAGTGTTGTCCAGGAAACTATATTACCATTTGTTCTACTTTATTAGTGCTCAAGTCGCTGGTCAGTATGAGTATAGGATGGAATGAAAATAAAAGACATTATTTCAGAAACGTTTCTGTTTTATTGGTTTTTTTTTTGGGTTTTTAACATTTTTGAGATCTTATATACTTTAAATGGGCCTATGGAACAATAAAAATATACAGATCAAGCCCTTAATAACATATATTATAATCATTCAAAATAGACATTTTAATCTTTATTTATAATATAGTATATAACTTAAAAAAGCGCAGAATCCTACAATGAAGGATTCAAAAAATATTATATACCTGATCGGTCGAAAATACCGTACCACTATTTGTGTTATTTATTTTTATCATTTGAGAGCACACTATATGTTACGTTTCGACCGACCTTGACATTATCTTCAGCTTTCCTTCGCTAATAAGTACTTATAGGTTTAAAATTTGTGGAGGTCACCATAACAGTCTATATTATTTCTGAGGGAATCAAGCGGGATTTTTCTTATTTTTAAAGGTAGTTATATAAATATAACAATGCAAATGTGCATTCTAAAAAGTTTTCTTTAAAAAAATATTTTTTAAAATTTATGAACCAATTGTGGTTTTCTGTTTGTAAAAAATGATGTTTGGATCATATTAATTAAAAAATTAAATAGGTAGGTGTATTTTTTTGCTAAATCCGCTTGATTCGAGTATTTAATTTTAATCTAAAAATACACTTTCAAGATTTAGCCCTACAATTATTTTAAATTTAACGACAAATTGTCACAAAATATGTATAAGTAATAATAATAAATTCTTTATTTTTCCTCTTATTTACTAAGTTTTAAATGTGTTTACAGTTTACGTTCAACGTAAGGTATGATGATTTTTGCGAAAATTAAAGAATTTATTAACAATATATTGGGCAATTCTTCTAAAATATGTAGACATTTATGGAATTTTACTGCTTTTTCACACTAATACTTATTGCGATTGCGATGTTGTTTTTTATATATTGTTTGCAACCTGAAGGCAAAATGTTTAAAAACCCAAAGTAACAATTTACAAAGTAGAATTAGAAGTAAAACAAAAACGTCAAAAGACCCATATTTCATCGCAAATGTCAACTGGTTGCAACTGCAGCATACCAAGATGACCATTGACAGTCAACTGTCACAATAATGAATCAAATTTAAATACGGGAAATATGGGAAGTTCGCTAAATCTAGATCAAATTTTTGAGAACATTTTGAAATAAATATGACTGTCTAAAATAGTAGATATTGAAAAAAATTGATATAAATTATATCTTATTTAAAATAACATTAAGACCTCATACTTTTTATATATTTTTATACAATAATTGGGATATCCTGTATATAAATTAAATGACGTTTTTTAATTTTAATTCTACAAATAATACGTGAAGTAAAAAAGTAATTAAAAACTGAAATGTAATTCTTTGAAAAAAAAAAAAAAAAGATAATTCAACTTTAAAAAAAATATATGGTACTACTTTGCGAAACACTCTGTAGTTTTGTTTTTTCTAATAGACATTCATTGGAATTGATAAAATTGAATTGACAAAATAATTGGTTTTAAATTGGAAAAAACAGAGTGAGTCAAAAGCAAATTTAAAATTAAAAAAATATTTATAAAATGTCATCTTGAATCTAAAAAGACTTACTTTATATATTTATACATGGTACTGAATATATATCTATAATTACAGTCATTTTTTTGCAGATCTTTTTTTTAATTTCTTTATATATGATATGTTATAAACACATATAATTTGTTACTTTAAAATACGTACAAAGATTCTATTTAAAACGATATAATTTACTGATATTTTTCTTGAAGTTTCATATTTTTTCTATTTTAAAATCCAAGCACATTGTTTTTTTACATTAAGTATAACTTCAACACAAAATGTTTTTAAAATATATTATTTTGTGTTTAAATATTTTTAACTTATTCTGTTTGCTAATAAAATGCATTTAATTTAATAAATATCAATTCTTACATTAAATATAATCTACTCTACACAAACTACAACTAGAAATTTTTTGTTAATATCGATTCAAGATAACTTTCAAACGAAACAGGATACTCTCAAATATATTCCATTTAATCGTAGTAAGACATTTCAAACAGTATTGTCAAACTTTTTCAAATTTGTCTGAAAAAGGACAAAACAGATTGACAAAATATCTATTAGGGAATAAATTTAAGAATGATCAATAGTGCTCCAACCCCTGGAAGAAAAAATTATGAACTAAATGGCATTTTGTAACCCAAGAAAATGCTGTTTGGTTCTTAGTTTAGATTTTTTATTATTACGTACTAAACGGCATTTTATAGTTGAACAAAACGTCGTTTAGTTCACAAAATCGATGGCGTTCCACTGGGACGTTCGGCATATATCAACGAGATGATAGAATACTCTTCAGGTTGCATTTTTTTTAATAAAATCGCTTAGTAATCGCTATTTCACACGTACACAACCCAAAGTAACGTATTTTTTGTTTTTTTTTTTCTTCTCACAGCCACTGCCATTCACACCAAATTAATGCGTCATATTTTAAGAACTTTAAGCCTCAATGTACAACAAGACAATACCTAGAGCCATCTTAAAAGTTGTACATATGATTTGAAAATTATATTCACCTTCTTTGAGATTACATTTGTTTTTTTCGAAATTGGTAAATGTTTAAAGATAGTAACAGAACCGTATTTCGTAAAAATGCGTTAAATTTGATTTTTGCTTAACTCTGTAGGTATACAAGTAAAATGATAATTTATCTCTTGACCAAGAAAAAGGCAAAAATATGGATCAGAGTCAGTCTTTCAATAATATTTTTCTAATAAGAGATAACAATTATCAACTACCGTATTTTTAGTTTTAAAACTTTTATAGAGTGTGTTTCGAAAATAGTATTTTTAACTTCATAATAATGAATTACGGTTTTGGTTCCAATTAGTCCTACATTCCTAATTTAATATGTAATTATCGACTTTAATTTGTTGTCCCAGAAGGAAATTCGTCCACATTTATTATTATCAAATGGTTATGTTCAAATATTACATGTAAGATTATATTCCAATATAATCCGGTATCAAAAACTTGAAGCTTTTGGAAAAAATATGATTCATTATTCTAGTGTTCGAATCCATACAAGAAACACTGTCTTCTGATTTTTTCGCTAAATCACAGAAAACTTAAAATAATAATTAAGTAGATCGAATTATAGCGGCTAAAAGTGCCATTTTAACTTTTTAATTTTAAACAGCAACAACATTTCATAACGTGTTTAAAATTATAAATTATTACCGATATAAAGTTCTGTATGGGTACAATTCTTTTATTAGATCAGAAAAAAGAAATTTTTTTGACAAGTTGGCACTTTTTCAATATTTTCAAACTCAATATGAGTCAAAAAAAGCAATAATAAGGTAACTATGATAGATTATAAACTCCCAAATGATTTCTAGTAAAAACCAATTAACTTTTAGTTATTTAAAAACAATAAACAATATATTATATTATAATTTTTGTAAATACCAGACTCTATTTTCAGGACCTATTTTTCGTTTTGTCTATCGATGAATATTTATAGTTTATCACAAAATTTCAGTTTTGGGAAGGAAAATTACCTACGTGTCCTTATTTTTGGATATTTTATGTTTAATGTCCGGCATTTTATTTATTTATTTTTTTTTGTAAAATAGAGCTTATAACAAATACTATTTATTTTATAAGTCATACAATATAGGTACAGAAATGTCGCGTTATTTTCAATTTTTTATTAAAATGAAACAGAATAACATTAAGAGTAACCTATTTAAATGCAGTTAGATAAATACTTTTTTTGTAAAATTTTCTGTTTAATCTAAATAAATTTTGTACTTAATGATTTTACGCATATGAATGCTCCTTAATATTAATCTTATTTTATTGAAATAAAAAACCAAACAAGCGCATCACCCTCGTATAACGTAACTCTTTCGTACTCTGTACATACTCCAAGAAAACGCATTAATCAATTATTTTTTCTCACAACAAAAAATCTCTTAAGACAGCCCTGCACAATTTTCGATAAACATTTTTTTTGGAATGGTTTAATCAGAAAAACAAAAACTGACACCTTCATAAAAAGTCCATATACGAGGAGCGTTCCCATAATTTAAACATTTTCGTCACATACGAGAAGAGGTCATTAAATTTACAACTTCATCATAAATACGAGGTACGTCCAATAATTAATCCGACCACATACGGGGAGCGCTCATTAATTTTTAAACTCCGTCATGTACGAGTTGCGTCCAATAATTAATTATTAATTCGTATCGGTCGTATTCGCGCATCACGAACAGCACTGCGGCATCCACGCTGCGTTGCACGTGCAATAGCAGTTTTGGATGATGGGCGCGTAGACGATGCCGTTGGCGTAGACCAGAGGCGGAGGCTGCTGGGTCATCATGCGCTGCTGGTCTTGGTAGAGGACCTGCCAGGCGAGATTTTTGATTAGCTGAAGGGTTTGGCGTCTTTCGTGGCCCATCAAGCACACGGTGGATTCTTCTACGACGTCATGGAGAAGCATCAGGTACTGGTGGCGGAGAGCTTCTTCGTCTGGTTCGACGAAGTGGTTCCACAGATAGTTTTCTAGCTTGCCTTTTTGCTGGCTTATGTCCGGAAAGTCTATGAAGAATCGCGAGCACATGTACCTGAAACAAAATATATTATGAAGAACTGAAGAAACAAAAGGACTTAAATAATTCTATTTAAAATTTTCGTGTGTCTCAATATACAGATACGGAAAGTTAAACCCGGACTCTCTGCTCTACAATGTTAGGACCACCTTACTAAATACTTTAACAAAAATGGTTCTTCTAAAATGATATTATTTTACGATATTCCGTTGAATTTCAAAAGTTACTTGTTACAACAAGCGTAGCAAATAATTTCTTTTATGAAAATAAATACTATAGTATCAGTTTTACCATAATAGTGTCAAAAAAATATAAATACTTTTGAAAAAAGACAGTGAAGATAAAATTCAAAACAAATTAAAATATTTCTAAAGAATACAAAAAAATACACTCTAAAACCTAATCTAATGAATTAAAGGTTCAAATAAACGTCCTTGCTGTGCCAAACAATAGCCAAATCTATAGTACAATGATAATCTCGTATCTCTGAGTTGATCTGGCGTCGATTGAAATCATCTAAGTATATAATTAATAGCGTGAACTTCTAAAAAGAAAAAGATCGTCGAATTGAACGAAAGAAATCCTAATCCTCACCGAGCTTCTAAAAAAAAGGGGGGAAAAAAGGAGAGAAAAAATGGGAAAAAATGGGAAAAAGGGGGAAAAAGGGGGAAAAAGGGGGAAAAAGGGGAAAAAATGGGAAAAAAGGGGGAAAAGGGGGGAAATAGGTGAGAAAAGGGGGAAAAGGGGCGAAAAGAGAAAAAGGAAAAAGGGAAAAAAGGAAAAAGGGGGGAAATAGAAAGAGGTGGAAGGGGAAAAGAGGAAAAAAGGGGAAAAAACTTATTTAAGACTGAGGCAAAAATGTGTGGCAGTATTCTCTAATGATTGGAGAAACCTATTTAACTGTTTTATTGCTAATTGAATCATATTTTCAGTTAAAGAAATATAAAGTTGAGTATCGTCGGCATAAAAATGGCCAGTGATTTGTAAAATTCAAAAGTGTAGATATTGAAAAAGGTGGGTCCCAAGACAGAGAGCCCTGGGGAACACCATTCTCAACTATCAAATATTGCGATACTATTTTGTCCACAACAACAGGTTGCTCCCTTCCCTGAAGATAGCTGCTCAACAGCCAACTGCATTATCAGAGAAACCAATGTAATGAAATGTGGCCAGCCACAGTTCATGTTTTATTCTATCAAAAGCTTAGGTAAAATCTAATAGTACAAGTACTGTTAATTCATTACGATCAATTGCCCTAAGAATATCATCAGTAATGATTAATAAAGCGGTAGTGCAACTATGTTTAGGTCTAAATCTTGATTGCTGTTGAGGTATGATATTATAAATTATTAATGTGTGAACTTATTTGTACATGAACAGTTTTTTCGAAGCACTTCGCAAGAGCACATTATATACTAATTGGGCGAAGTGATTTATAATCTAACGGTTCACCAACTTTGGGCAGTGGATGGATTAGAGATTTTTTCAAGGTAGACGGAAAAACATTATGGGTAATACAGGTATTAAAAATGTGACAAATATATTTTAAAATAAATGGACAAGAGTACAGTAACATGCTAACACTTAAAAGATCTGGCTCAAGAGCTTTGGACTTTAACGATAATATAGTTCTATAGATTTCTAGTTCGTTCGTTAATGAAAAATTAAAAGAAATAATATTAGGCAATATATTATTTTTGTAATAGTCGACTGTTAAATTATCCCCAGAAAAATCAGATTTCGATGCATTTACAAAATACTCGTTAATTTCTTTTGGATTTTTTAGTTCTATTGGCAAGGAATAGTTCTTAGATTTAGAATAAATATCTAGATTACGTAATTCCTTCCAGAATGTTTTTTGATTTCCGCAGTTTCTTAACTTAAATTCTAAATAAGCCTTTTTTTCTCTTTGTATTGCACTCATTTCTTAACTATTTGTAATACTCCCAATGACCCTGAACACCGGTTCTCTTAAACCTTACTAATGCTCTGTTTCTAAGGGACACCATTTTCTTAATTGTGTATATGATCTAAGGGACATAATTTTCTTAATTGTGTATATGATCTAAGGAGCAGAAGGACGTGTAATTTTTAGAGTATTTTGTGGTGCATGGTGGTCAAAAAGGGCGAGAAGGATATTATTAAAATAATCAATTTTATCATCAATATTATCTAAATGTAAAAATTTATCAAAATTAGCTGCTTCTAATTCAGCAGTAAAATGCGCAATATTAAAAGACTTGAAATTTCTAAACGTGATAAAGAAGGGATTTTTTTTGGAACTTTATTGGAAAATGTTAGAGATGACATACAATGATCAGTTACAATAGATACATCAGTTACTGTAAGATAGTATCAAACCTCTTACAGCAAAAACTATCAGGTACCATTGCATCGATATTAAAGTCTCCTAATAAGATTATTTGATTAACATTAGGTGCAACGATACTAAGAGACATTTAAAAGTTTTCCAGGAAGTTAGAAACTGTGTGGGAATGTGGTCTATAAAAAATCCCCAATGCATAATTCTTATCTAATATAAAGGAAACCCACAGTTCTTTAGTGTTACTTAAATTAGGCCCCTGAATAATGTTGGCTTTAATGTAATTTTTAATATAGATTAGTAATCCACCTCCTCTACTTCCCCGATCTCTTCTGAATAGTCGATAACCATTAAGTTGTATAATAATGACATATCATTGTTAAAAACTGAATTTAGAATAAATAGTAGGAACTTTAGAGAGATACATTTATTATTAGTAATGGTATTCAGTACAAATTACGGTTTTATTATCCAAATAAATACTAGCTTAGATGTTAAACACTCAAAGTAAGTAACTCATAAAAACATTTTGTGTGTTTAGGCCCTTAAAAGCAGTAGCACGAATTTATTGATAAACATAAACCTAATATCATGCTGTTATCCCACCGATTTACGTTCCTATATTAGTCTCAATACAAGCATACGGATTTAGGTTACAGAAAAGACAAAGGATTGCGTGCTTCAGAACCATTTTTAGAAATTGTGTAGAAGGCGTATATTTAGTAAAGTAATAAAAAGAGTTTTTCCTATAGAATATGTCTTTCATTAGGTAAATATAATTTTAAGCATTTAAAGAAATAACAATTCTTAAAAATCTGAAACTCATCATTGGTAAACGTTGCGGGATATAATTGCGGCAACATTTTGCAACGATATATTCAGTGAACTGGCCATTTTTGCGCAACAATATTATAAATTACCGCTATATACGAATATTACAAATATGAAATTATACAAAAGCTGTGAAAGGTCCATTACGGAATGTCCATCAGTCTCGCACATTCTTGTTGATGCTCAATAATTTAAGTGTCTAATGTCAGATAATTATTGTTGAAGTTACCTTTTAAATAAAATATCTGCTGGTAGAATATTATGTTGATAATGGGGTGTTAATACACTGCGACCTAAAAGATCTATTGTGCCTCTTCTGTCGCCAATGCACCAAGGAAATGTCTCAATACCTATAACGACCCTTCCGGTCCTATTTTCTCAAGGAAGTGTAGGATTTGAAGTGGCTTCAAGTTAGGTAAATCTCCCTCTTCTATTTGATATCCTCCTAGATATAGTGCCATTGGATTCTGGAGTGCTACACATTCAGTTAGGATGTGAATGGAGGTTTCGTCCTCCTCCTCACAGAATCTGCACTCACTATCCTCTACTACTCTCAGTTTACTTAGGTGTCCTTTTAGTCGGCAATGCCCGGTAAGAATCCCTGTTACAATACGTAGCCTGTTCTTGCTCAGGCAGATGTAGACTTTTCTTTTCTGGTTATATTCACCCAGAAGTATCTTGGCCTGTCTCAGCCCCAAGAGATTGTTCCAATTATCGGTTCGTTTACTGCCCAATTCTTTTTAATTTCTCCTAATATTAAGTTACTGCTGATACCGCAGAACGGCTCAGGTCCTACAAAGGGTGTTTGAGCCCCTTTTCTTGCAAGACTATCTGCAATCTCGTTACCCTGTACCCCATTATGTCCCGGGACCCAAGTGAGAGTAACTCTATTTTTCTCGCCTAGCTCATTCAATTGTTCTAAGCATCTCCAGACCATTTTTGAGCTCAGCGCTTTGAAGGCTGCTTGACTATCGGACATGATGATAATCTCTTGTCTATGATAGTTTCTCTCGATGTTAAACTAAATACACTTCTCGATGGCGTGAATTTCCGCCTAGAAGATGCTTGGGTATTTTCCCAAGCTTTCAGAGTGCTTGGTTCTCGGCCCATACACTCCTATTCCAGTTCCTTCTATGGTTTTGGAACCGTCCGTATACCACTGAATAGCACGTCTTTCGGTTGCAAGCGCGATGGATTCTTGGCTCCATTCCTTCTTGCAGCCCAGCTCTGTGGTTTTGAAGTTTTTCACAAAACTGTACTTCTTTAGCATTTCATCCTGGGGCATGTCCCAGGTATCTTTAGTCCTAAAGCAAGTAGACTTCCGTCTGATGACTCCGTTCCTGATCATTCTATATCGTGTCCTTTTTGCCACATTCTCTATCATCAAATGTAGAGGGGTGAGGTTTAAAGTCACCTCCATTGCGGCCGTAGGACAGGTTCTCATTGCACCAGTAATACAAATACAGGCTAGTCTTTGTACTTTTGAGATATTAGCTCTCGTAGTAGCTAAACTAGTTCTGTTACTCCAGGCTATAGCCCCGTAAATGATGATTGGTCTCACTATTGCAGTATAAATCCATCGCAGTATGTTTGGGTTACATCCCCATCGTTTACCTGCAATACCTGCATACCATTAGGGCTTTTGTGGCCTTATTTACTACTTCCCTCTCATGTGTATTCCAGAGAAGTTTGTTGTCCAGGGTTAGGCCTAGATATTTGACTTCATTTTTCCATTCTATATCTATCCCGTCTAATTTAACGGTTTTGAGATTAAGTTTTCTTTTCCTTAAAAAGGCTACTAGTGTTGTTTTTGTAGGGTTTATACTAAGTTCCACTTCACGGCACCATTGGTATGTTCTAG